GGCTGCCAGTGTCAGTGATGCTCCCAGCCTGGTACGGGCAGGGGCTGGCACTGCTCACTCTTGCTCGAAGCAGCACCAGGGCTGTCCACTGTTCTGGTAGCGCTATGCCTGCACTGGGGCTGTGACACCATTGGATCGGCATTTTTTGAAGGAGCTGAGACATCCGAGGGTGGCAGTGCATTCCCTGAATACCCTGCAGCCTCACAGCCACAGGTTTGACAGCGATGCTTCTCCACCGATGCCTGTGGAGCTTCTCCAGCTTTACAGAAGGGCGAAGAAGAGTCCAATCAAAGTTACTATGTTCAAGGCCAAGAGACTGGGTTAGATTTACCAGGGCAGGTGAAAGCTGAGGTAGATGAGAAAAAAAATGTGTCCTCTCACAAATCACCCCCAGGCTGTGCTAGGGACAGGGGCAGATGAGGCCAGACATTCCCAACACCTCTCTGAAGGACCAGACTGGCCCAAGTGCTACAGAGATTGGCTTGTGCCTGGAAGTCCCGTCCACATTTCCATCTACAGATGGCAGGAGGCTACTGGGATCAAGGATAAATGAAACATCTTGTTTTTCTAAACCAGAAATAGCTTTTTAGGCAATTCATGGTACCTTATACCCTCCCTGAGCAGGTCTGACACACTGAATCCCCCCCAAATAGCAGTTGCATCCATTTAGCTCCCTTCTTTGATTCCAAGTGTCATTGAATGTGGTCTCCCTAATTTTCTATGTGATAGCTACCATTTTATTTTTTTCTAGACTGTGAAATTTCCAATAAAACTGGAGTTAGCACAAACCAGACCTATGTTTGTTTTTCAAAGCAAATCTAATTACTCTTCTTACTGGAATTGCCTTTTGTTCAAGGGATTGGATTGAGATACAGAAAACAAGTTGCATGCAGATGCTAATCATTTTGCATGTAAATGACTAACATTTCTTTTACAAATATTTCATGCAGGTTTTTAGTTTAACAACTAAAAAAAGATCTGCTTTTTCAAACTGCTGTCAGTAATATCTGTAGACTTTTAACAAAATACCCCAGGCTCTGTATCTCCAAATAGTAGATAAATAAATGTATTTATTCACTTTGTATGCAAAAATAATTTAGCCAAAGACACATATTTCACATGAAGATAAAAGCAGACAAATTTCCTTTTTTTTTCTCCAAATCACAAGCATCCTTTTTAATGAGGAGAACTGGTGGGTTTTCTGAGTGAGCTGAGTTCATGATGGTGCTGACAGGGGACCGAGAGCTCTATGGAGTTTGTACAGAAAATGGAGTCACAATTTATTTCTTTGTTTAAAGACTGAAAAAAGACCAGTGGTTAAAAGATGAAGCCATCTGTCCTCTCACTGTTTTGTACCTGGTCGTGCTATTTCTGTCAAGGAGAGAGTTGGGAAAATAATTGAGTGGGGTTTGTTATAAGCCTGTTTCAAATGGTCCCTGCACCAAATGAGAGAGTGAAATGGGTGCCCTTGACCCCATGGGTTATCATACCATTACTTCTGGAGGAGAATGTCCTTATGTCCTGTCAGAAGCACGTGGGGGACACAGCCTGAGGATCCCTTTGCTGTTTTTACCCACTCTGTATCTGTGGGATGAAGAGAAAGTATTGGACTCCAGGTCTGCCCATCTAGCACATTTCATCAACACTGTATTCATCCTAAAAAACAAAACAAACAAACAAAAAAGCTTACATGCCCCAGAGTTCTGGCCAATAGCTCAGTGATTTTCAAAAAATGCCTTCAGTTATCTCAGATTTCAGTCTGTGCAGCAGTGGCTGCTAAGAACTGCTGTATTAGTGTGAAGCCTGTTAAGCTCACCTGCACTTTCCTCTTTCTTCCCAGCTCTTCTCAGCCCAAGACAACTGAAACAGCAGTTCCCATCTGATTCCACATAATTGCCACAATTAATTTTGACAGTGAAGCTTGTAGAGAGGTTCTGCCATTAATATCCCAAGAGCCTTTTGTTGTTGGTAGCCCCAAAGCGATCAGCAAGACACATGTGCAGAAACTAAGTGACATGATGTAGCTGAAAGCTTGACATTGGCCACCAAGAAGATATCAATGAAGAAAAACATAAGGGTTTGGATGTTAAATAGACGTAGAGGACACTCCAGATATCCCCAGGTGGTGCTTGGGAGAGTGGCCTACGTCCTGCTTGTCTGTCCCATCTCCTTTCTGGTCAACTGGTTTTTCCTTCTCCGTCTGCTTGCTCTTTGTGTCAGGTCTGCATGTGGTAATGCCCGCACCAAACATTTCTGGTGCTCAAACCTGTGAAAACCCTGCGGCATGTCAGTTTGGTGGTAGGACGAATTGCATCCTGGTGTGTGTTTGTCCCTACGTGGCACAGTGGGACACTAGCTGTTGCTGAAGAGGTAATATACATAAGGAGGATAATAATAATGAACAAAAATAATTGCATTATTTAAGTACAACTTAGCTGTCAAATTTGTGGTTTTTCTAAACTGCCGAATGGACAGAGCCGGGATGTTTCTTGGTGATGTTGCCATGGTTAGTGTCCTGAAGTGAATTTCAACTGAATTGTGGGGGATGAGGAATCAACCAGCCAACTCACAAAAACAATGGGACAGTTTTGTTTGCTTGTGGAGGAGCTTAAACATTTAAAGGAAATCACTGTTTTTTTCTTTCTTTTTCTTAAATCTTCATTAGGTTGGTGTCTTTAAATACGTTTGCTGTAAAATAATATAATAATTTTCCTGCTTTATCGGTACAAGTGGATATATAATACGGCATCTGCTTTTATGAACTACTGCTGCATGTCATAAAATACTATACTGCAGTGATTTTAAAATAGATATTTATCTGAAAACTTGATTTTTAATAACTTTTAAATAAAATCTAGATTTGTTTTCTTTCTGAAACAACATTTTTAAAATGCATTAGCTTTCATATTTCTTCTTCATTGAAAATAAAAAATAGTCTTTGCTGAAATTAAAAACAGACATTGAAGATCCAGATATCTCATTCACAGTAAATTCCATGTTTTGGTCAAGTTGGTAGCTATCCTTCACAGCCTACCAACTTTTCAGTCCCCCCTTAAAGGGAATTTTCTTGGTAAGTTTTTATTAATGGGGTAACCAAGGCATGGGAAAGGGGACTGAGTTGTCCAGTTTGATTTTAGAGATGCTCTCCATCATGAGGTTTGCTGCCTGGCTGGGCCTGATGCCAAGGAGAGCCCCCAAGCCAGCCGGTCTGTCGGAGGCAGCCGCTGCAAACTGCCCGGCTCCCTGGTGAGCTGCGCCTTCTGAGGCAAGACAAAGCCTGGAGATAAAGAGCAGATTTAAGGAGTGCTTAAACACTGATCTTTTGGGAAGCTACTTCAAACACTGTTTTATAGTGCTCTAAGTCATCTAGATCTCCCTTAACTTGTTTCACTTTCTTCCTAAAATATTTATTTCTCCAGCAAGGAAGACTCCTTCAGATAGGAGAAAAATGACCCGTTGGGCTGATGGTGTTTTTATCTGTGTGGCGTTAATGATTGATGCAAACTTCACGTGTGCAGCACAGCTCTGCACTTTCTGCTCCGCTTTATCTTCTGTGGCTTCAAGCCTGCCTGGCTCAGTAGCTCTGTTGCATGCTGGATTTATTGTCAGACCAGCAACACTTTATATAACCCCCAAAGCACTTGGGAATACATACCTCCGTGTTGCTGAATGTTCGAAATGTTCACTCTTAAATGAGGTCTGCGGTAAATATGTAGCATTACTCCAGATGCTTTGCTCAGATGTTGGTCATGGGTTTTCCATTAGCAAGGTTGGAGAAGCTCCCGAAGACTTCTCAGTGGCAAGGGCTTGGGTGAGAGCATCGCTCGCCTGTAGCAGCACCTGCCTTCACTCACGGGGCTCTGCAATACCTTGTCTGGGTTCTAGAAAAAGGGATTTTATTTGTTAGAACAGTTTTTCTTCAGAAAATGCATATTCATTGTGGCTTGAGCTCTTTTTGCAAGAATGGCATAGTTTTAAGGAACGCAGTGGGAGAATTTGTTTGGCCAGGTTGAATTTTCTGCTCAAAATCAAAGTCTGGGGAAAAAAAACGAACCCACCAACAACCACATCTGCCTCAGTGAAGGTTTGGGAGCCCACTGCCACAGAGTCCCCTGGCCAGCCAGCTCTTTTAAAAGACGTTTAATATTTCCCTGTTGTTAAAAATCTTGAAAAGTTACTGGGACATGACAGGTTTTGGTCCATAGTTGAGTGTAGTTTCCTCCTTGAGACTTTATGCAAAGCCAGGACAAGTGGCAAAGGCACGGGCACCCGCACAGCCGGCACAGGCTCAGGGGTGTCTCAGACAGGCCCATGTGTGCTCTGGGCTCCTGGGCAGCTGTGGGACCAGTTCTCAGTATCTGACAAAATACTTGTGTCAGAAATCTTTAAAATTACTTCCTTCTTTTTATTGAAAGATTTCCAGGCTTTGTGCCAGCACTTCCTCCTGTCGCTTTTGAAAATAAATAAGTTGTTTACTTGCTTTTGTAGTCCCATTTCTCCGAATCCACTTAAATGCCCCTGATAAACTGCCTTTTGCCCATAAGAATTTGAAGAAACCTCAATGTTTTAGGCAACTACCATTGCACGTTTCTTGCCCATCACAGGGGAGGTAAGAGCAAAGCCAGGGGAAGGCATTGGGAGCAGCAGATGAGCAGCAAGGCTGTGTCTTTGCTTCTCAGTTCTCTTTTTTCCTTTTTGCTTAGTATTTCAGCCTAAATCCTAACAAATTCCTGACTTTTCCTGCATTTTTTTCAAGCCCATTCACTGTAGGCTGTTTTGCAAACCACAGCTCTGCCAGGGTAGGAGAACGTTTTCCTTTCAGTGGGGAGTTTTCTGGATGCGTATTATTGCTGGGAGCTGGTATCGCTGATGTCTGTTGTTTTCTGTTTTTAAACTAACTGCAATGCGTGACCGTCGTGTATCACTCAGTGATTCCTAATTTAGGAGATCAGTGATTAATTCCTTCCATTGCTTTTTCTTCTCTCTCTCTTTCACTGCAGGATGTTTTCACACCAGAGTGCAAATTTAAGGAATCTGTCTTTGAAAACTACTACGTTATTTATTCTTCCACGCTGTACCGGCAGCAAGAATCCGGCCGAGCGTGGTTCCTGGGACTCAATAAAGAAGGTCAAATTATGAAGGGAAACCGAGTGAAAAAAACCAAACCCTCATCACATTTTGTACCCAAACCCATTGAAGGTATGGAATCTGCCCGCTGCCTCCATCAGTGGGGCATGGGGAGGGGGAGTTTGCAACTGCAGATTTGGGGCTTCCTGGATGGGGCTGTTGGGCTGCAAGACCAGAAAGCAAGGACAATGTTTGTAACATTTCAGGAAAGTGCTGGGCTGCACTGTTAGCATTTTGTCTGCTTTCCTTCCCATATAATAAACTTCATACATCATCCCAAAGGGGTTTCTCAGCTTTGGGTTGCTAAAGGATGAATTTAAAAGCCCAGCAACATGAGAAGTTACTGGGAAAGGAAAGCAGTCCTTGAGTGGCCAGCAGTTCAAAAGGAATCCAAACCATCAGTGACCATAATGTGGGGGTCTCTGTGGTGATTTTCCCAACTCATTCAGTGGGTTTCCAGTCCCACGTAGAGTCAGTAGAGACAGGATTTATCTCACCTGATTTTAGACTTTGAGACTCTGTTTATATTAACAGGAGAGAAATGGGTCCTACCAGCACAGCTGTGGATGTACTTTATATGTCTACCCTAAGATAACTTAAATCTGGTTTTTTTTCTTTTGTAAAGACATCCTAGTTAGTCACTGGGAGTAGAGAAACTGCTACCATAGGTGTCCAAAGTTAGATGAGATGTTCTCATGCCGTATGTCTTCATCACAGCGTGAGTGAAAGTCATGGAGTTGAAACTTTGCCCTCCTGCTGCTGGCTGTACACTACTGAAGTGTGCCACAGGCTCGTGCCAGGGCATTTTGCTTTTTGTGAGCTGGCCCCTGATAATGGAGAGATGTAGTGTGATAAGCCTTGTACTTAACAGGTACTAGTGTGATTTTGGAAACAAGGAGACCTCTTTTTTTCTTTGGCTTCGAAAAAGCACTACTTTTCGATCCCCAAACTAGGTAAGCCTTTCTGACCCCATCTCAGACCTGCCAGTGGCCACCTCAGGGCACACAGCAGCCTGGGGCTGGCCTCGACTGCACGGCTCCGTGCCCCCTCTTGCTACCCCCATGTTGGCTGTGGGATCAGGGCTGGACACGTGGAGAGAAGGAATGAACTGATGCTTTCCTGACAGGTACCACTCACAAGTGGTGGAGGCCACAGCTAAGTCCATGCACTAGTAGCTGTTCTAACAGCTTCCCAACTAAGGCACAGGGGCAGACGAGTGTGCGTGTGTGAGTGAAAGGCCAGTTCAGGAAGGCAGGCTGAAGTCGTCTGTTGGACCACTGAAGCAAAGCACGATGAGAGAACTTCAACTCAGCATTCCCAGAGTATCTGTGGCCTTTGCAGAGGAGATGGAGATGTTGAAAGAGTAGAGAACGGCCTGGAGCCTCTTGTCCTATGCTTGTTTTCAACAGCTTTTCTGCAGCCAGGAGCCTTTTCTTGTTTATCTGAGGCATTAGTGGGATTGGTGCCCTAAGCCCTCACTGAGTTTTGCTAAGGAACAGGGCCTGCTTCAGGCATGGGGTCAGTCACCAGCTTCTCTTCTGTCTCTTCCTCTCCTGCCTTGGCGGGGAGGAGAGTCTTTTGCAAGCACTAGCTTTCACAGCTGGGTTTCCAGCTCCTTCTGGTATTTCTTTTCTGCCTGGCTGGGTGTTGGCACTGATCAGTGGGTTCCTTTGAATCCAGGCATCTTTTTTTTGATGTAGCATGCGTGGCGTCTGCTGAATGGCTCAATAGTTGTCTTCTGCATGCATTAAACTAGGCCATCCCTGTGGCTTTCCTTGTGGAAAGCCTTGCTTTAACAGAGGTGCCTGACCCACAGTAGAGTTCTCCTTGCAGCAAATGCCGCTCCGGCCTTCATTTTGAAAAACCCAGCCCAGCCCGAGATCTTCCCTTTCCTGCAGTTGCATCCTCCCACGCTTGCTTCAATCACAGCTGTCACATAACCTCCTGAGCGAGTGAGCGCTTTGGAAGTTGGCAGCCAAATTAAGGGCTCCTCCACCCCTTCCCTCCTCCACATGCTTTGCAGTCAGCCTCTGTGAGCGCTGCTGCATCAAAGAGCTGGCAGTCTCCCAAGCCAAGGCACGTGTCAGCTTCCCAAAGCATTCAGCTGTCTGGGACTGTGACTCCAGACGGAGGACTCTGTTCCCAAGCCTAAGATTCATTGGAGGTAGCAGAGGCTTGTGGGGAGGGTTGGAGTAAAACGCGCTCAGCTCCACGTGATTTCTCTGTGCTGCATCAAAAGTCTCCATGGGCAGAGCTTGCAAGCAGAGATGTTACAGAAAAGGGGCAATTCCTTCCCTGTTTTAACAGCTTCTTTCTCTTTGTCATGACTCTAAAGAAGTATTCAAAGCACTCCCCTCCTATATTTACATGTCCCTTCTGCTAAATGCTGTGGCACACTCCAGCATGTGGGTTTTGCTGCTTATTCAGGCCAGTACTTTGAGCTTCCATCTGCAGTAACGCACCCAGGTTTCCTTGGGCTCTGGTACCACCGCCAGCGTTAGCCCTGCCACATGATGGCTGACACAGTAATGTATGCAAGGAGGAATCTGGTCCCCTGGGAAGGGGAGGTGTTACATACATTGCTAGGAATCACTTCACCCACCACTTCAGTGGCAATTATCTCTGAGATGAAACTTCCCAGTTGTTTGCCGTGTGCAGAAAAATTATGCAGCAGCTTAGTGAATAGAGCATTCGCAGGAAAAGGCAACACAAAAAAGCCCAGATTGCTCTGGGAGCTCATTTGACTCCCGTTGCTTCATACTGCTTTCTGAATTCAGAAGTCCTCTCCTTGAAGCTGCAAACGGGCAGTAAATAAATATGAAATACCCTCTCAGATAATTTCTAAGGACTACATATGTGTACATGTGCAGATATATACAGTGCTATCTGTGTACATGTGTGTGTGTTATCTATGCCTTTTAGCAGCTACAGCTTTATGCTGTGCTAATCCCACAATGTGTTTTGACTCCTGTAGATTGCCAGAATGCTGGAGGTGTTCTGTGCAAAAGTCACTAGATACCAACTGGAAAAGTTTTGGGTTTTGATTGGTAGGAGGGTTTTTTTGGTTTAGTGTAGGTAGGATTTGTTTGTTTTTGGAAATAGCATTAAGCTTAATCAATATGAAAGCACAAAAAACTTACTAAGTAATAACAGGGGAAACGTTAAGTTCCTCTCCCATCTGTGCACAGGCAAAGCCAAGGCAAACAGCCTGACAGGCAGCAGTTAATGTACTATGTGGTGCCAGTTTTGGTTAAAAACACACATACGCAACACATTTCTTCTGATATTTTTATTTCTGATCACTGATCGTTCGAGCTAAATGAGCCCTTAAAGTGCAGACATATAGATTGAACCAGACTGCACAAGAAATTAGCTTGAGTGTAATTGTCACTTGGACACCAAGCAATCTTTTGAAGCAATTTCAGTCTCTTTAAGTGTCTGTAGTGATTAATGCTGGGCAAACACTACCGTCCACAGCACCTCTTGTTTTTTTAAATATCCAAACCCATCTCAAACAATGGGAGACTTTTTCAGTCACTTAAGTGAGAATTTTATCAGATGCTTGTTGTGGATGTGCTCTGTTATTTGTATTTCCTTCTCCTTGAAGACATCATTTCCAGATTGCTTTCCCAAAAGAGCTGTATTTCATCTCTCACCCGGCCCAAGCCAGAATGCATTTGGGGTGGCAAATCTGGCCACAGAAAGCAGAAGACAACTCTTCATCTGAGTAAGAAGAGTTGCCCCTAACTCCAAACTCCCGGTGCTTCAGCCCTCATGACATGAACACATATCAGATATGAAGGTGACCTGTTAATGACTAATCTGATCCGTTTATTACCACTGATGAATATCTGTGTGCAAGGAACAGCAGCCAGCTCTTTCCCAGTGTGTTTTCCCAGGGATGCAACGTGCCGATTTTGTTAAAGCAAAGTCCTCAGATGTTGCAAAGTACAAGACACTGTTGAGTAGGAAGATGTGGTAGGCCTAGTGAAAATGCTTCAAAGGTATCACCTTAATCCACAAAACATCCTAAAAAGTGTTCTTTAAAAAAAAAAAAGACAAACCCCACACTCTTTATCAGTCTGTTAACACAGCTCCTCTTTTGGGTCTGTCTTTCAAGTGGGCAGGCTTTGGTATGTTTTCAATCCCACGCTAACTCACTTGTTCATCTATCAAACTTCTAATCATCTTATTAGATGGCAAATGCAATATATTTTAAGCATGCTTTTGCTTGGCTTTTTGTCATCCTGCATTTTTTACCTGAACAAACTGTGATTCCATCTGGCAGCATCCTGCACATTTAGCCGCCAGATAGATGCGAGCTCAAATGCCTCTGAAATGCATCAGCTGGGACCAGGTTTGGAGCACAGTAATTAGAGGCAGAAAACGAGGATACATAATCACTTGCTCCCTCCTGCCCCTAGCTGCTGCTCAGACAATTAATTCTCTCCACCGAAGCATTGGCTAATGCAGCTGCTAATGGAGATAACGACACCCCGAGCCGTGGTAAAGAGCCCGTCTCCCGGGCTGCCTGCCAGAGGATGTGGGCTCAGCCCTGCCCAGACACTGGTCCAGGCTGCTGTCGGGGAGTGTTGCGATCCTGCCGGGCTAACAACCTGCCTACCTGCTAAACGGCAACCTGGGAAAAATTTAGTTCCTCCTAATTCGCTAGGTTCTGGGGCAGGGCAAGCCAGGAGTGACGCTGGATGGATAGAATATATCCAAGGTCCTGTAATAAGCTTTTCCCTGTATTCTAGAGAAAGGAAATGGAGTTTGTTGCATCCTCTGAACCTCCTCAACTTGCAGCAGTGCCAAGTGAGAAATGCTAGGATCAGGACACAAAATGGCATGTGCTTCCCAAACTCAGGCAGTCCCTGACGCCCAGGGAAGCCGCACAGGGTGATTTCGGTTTCACCATGTGGGTGGTGTGCCAGTGAAGCAGCCTGGGAAGCAGAAATGAGGCTGGGATCCTGTGCCAGCGCATAGGCGAGAGATGGAGCTGTTCTTGGGTGACAGGCAGCCCCCTCCATGCCTTCGCCTTCGGGAAGGATGCTCCCCGCCGCCCCCTTCCCTCTTGCTTGTACCTCCAGTCCCTTTCCTGCCTAATTTGCGAGTTGTTTCTTTGCGCGAAATTGTTTCCTTGTGCATACGAATGGCAGGCATGGCTGGTTAGCAGGGAAACAGGGAATCAAAAGCTGCAAGAACCAGACATCGGCACAGCTCTACTGCCGCTCACCCCCTTCCATTTATGCCTGTGGCTCTTCAGCAGATCAAGCTAACGGCACTTTCCAATTAAAGCATGAATATGGATGTGTTGATTAGAATCTGGGACATAGGAGCTGATTATCTGATTGAAGCTCCAAAGCATTAACTTGGTTTCCAGACATTAAGGGCTGTATTTGGCTTGGTGTGTGGGTGTGGGTGGGTGGGAGAAGCAAGGCAAAGCACGGAGGGGACTCTTGTTCTAGCCAAATTGCTCATCCTTCCAAAGCTGCCTTGCGCTGTGTGCACCAGCAGACCTCCCAAGCGTCTGGGCATGCCGACTGTCACACTGCTGCTAGTTTACCTTGATGCAGGTGCCAGGGACAGTGTGTCTCATGCACACAGGGACCCCAAACAGACCTTTCAGTGAGTGCTGGTCCTGAACCACAAAGATTTAGTTTAAAGCCGGGAAGATCTGAGCACTCACAACAGTCCATTTGCAAACAACCCCCTCCCCGGTCCATGACTAACATCGTGTGTGAGTCACACCCAAGCTTCCTCAGTACAAGGAGTAACAAACTGCAATCCAAGAGCTTGTGTTGCACAACATGTCACACTGTCCTTAAAACCCCATGCGTGTGTGGCTGTGTGCATACACACCGTGTGTCTGTGTGCACACACACCTGCGTGTCGCAGTGCACATGGGTTTGCAGCCACCACTGAGTGATGGCCGTAGCTCAGCACATGCACACAAACCTCTCCTGTAGCAAAATATCCAGGCACTATCTTGTGTGTGATGCCATATAAATACTGTGTACACTGATACTGTAGGTGTATCTAAAAAAACGCTTGTCCTATACTGCTGCAGGTTTTCTGGCATGGTCTGTTGGTACAGCCTGTCTGGTACAGAGGCTTTGACAGGTCTATCTTAAGAGCACAATGTGAGCAGCCTCCAGTCATGCCCCATGTCAATGCTTGTATCATGCACTAGACTGGAAGATAAACTTATAATTCTTGCCCTATTTGCTTGCTACATACAGGGTTTCCTTAATTCTTAGCTGCAAATGTTGTTTACTTCTGTAGCTTGATTTATATTCATTACTCTGTGAGCTTTGTTACCAGCTCAACGTTTTTGCCCAAAGGCCATGGTGAGAGGCAGGGAGCTGAAGAAAGGCAACGTGCCATGCTGCTGCTGCTGTGGGCTTTGCTCAGGCTCAGCCCTTGTGGTTAAGCATCTGACCCAGCCCAATGGGGTATTGGGGATGGATGCAGGTAAGATGAGCTTACTACGTGCAGCTGCCTGGGGGAAGAGCTCATGGAGGTCCCTCCAGCTTTAGCTTGGGACCAGAGAGGTCAGGGTGAAGACAATACTGCACTTGAGGCAGGACTTTGTGTATGGGACATCAGGGGCACTGTGGCAATGCCGGCAGAAATACCCAACTCTGCTGGGCAAACATCACGTCAGAGAATAAGGTCTCTCACAGAAGTGATGTGGATCCTCAGTGTCATCAAAAGGCTCTGCAACTCAGGCTAAGAAATCACAAGGGCACAGCTTTTCCTCAGTTGTTAACTTTATCATACTGTTCTTCAAGATTTTGTTAGGTACTTCACCACAACAGGCAAATTTACCATCACCAGGTTGTTGAGTGACACTCACCAAGGTATGAGGGGCAGCTCAGCAGCTGAAAGGGGATGTGAGATCTCTTTTCCTTCTGTTGCCACTGTGCTACACACTTTCCTTGCAGCATGCAGACAGCACTGACTGTCTGGGCAGCTGACGGGCAGTCCTGGCATTGCTCATCCTGGCCCAGATCCATGGGACAAGTCATTCATTTTCTTTTTTTTCTCATATTCATAAAAAAATGGCTCCAGCAGCAGTAACAGTTTGCAGAGCAGTATCTGCCTTGCAGCCACGCTGGGAGGCCCAGCTAGCGTGTGTGTTTAAACTGCTTTGAAAGCCTTGCATGAAAAATGCTCCATGGGAAAAGTAATATTTTTTCACTACTCGTATATTCAATGCAATATCTCTCCTATTAATACACAGTTGACTGCACTTTATCTCTGTCCTGTATTGTCGCACACTGCTATAACTGTTTATCTAGCTAGGAGTAAAATGCAGAGCAATAATGTCATTTGCAGCCTGCCTCTAATTGCCAGGATTTATTTGCAAATCAGGGGAGGTTATAAATATAAGCACTTACATCGCCTTTTTATACATGGGATATTTTTTTCATTTCTTCAGATAATTTTTGAAATTTTGTTCTTGTTGATTACCCAGAACCAAAACCTGATGGGCTCTGTCCCCTGTGTTTAAGCTCTGTGACATTGCTCGTGACGTGACAGCTTTACAAAATGAAGCAGTACACAATGATTTCTTTCTATCCTAATTTTTGCAAAGATCTGGGCATGACATTTGCAGTCTGGACCTACCTCAAGTTCTCAACTCCAACGTGCCTGCCCTTGAGATGCCTCATTATTTCAATCACATCTGCACCCCACCACATTTGTGATGAGCTCATCAGACATGATCCCTTTGGTGTGAGACGCTGAGCCACTCAGCACGTGCCCCTGCTCTGGCACATCTCACACAGCACGAGGACAGCCATGAGGACTTAGTCCACATGGTGAGTTGGATAAATGCTTTATGCTGCACAGGACATGGGGATGTGCCGTGCCTTGGGCAGACGTTGCCTTCTTAGGTTGTCTAGGCTTCAGCAAGTACATTTTTATAGGACGCACATTGCTTAGCCAGGGTCTGGAGAGAAGGTGCCCTCCATCCACCTTGTTCTCAGGTGCTGCCAGGTGACCATGCAGAGCTGAGATGGCTCCTGGCTTGTTGTCACTGAACTTATTCCCATGTGTCTGCTCACGGCCTTGGCCTTGGCTGGCTGTCTTGGTTTATAGGGGAAAAATAATAAGAAGTGCTGAGAGCAGACCTCAGCTCTTGGCCAAAGGAGCCAAATGGGCTTGAGTCATCACTTCCAGAATCGGAGCTTAACACCCAGAAGGCCTGGATGGCACAGATGCAAGCATAGTTTTGATTCAAGACTCTGAAGGGCTTCTTGTTGGAGGGGACCAGGTAATTCTTGGGCCTGTTATTAGATGATAATCAGCATCTCAAGACAATACATGGTGCTGTGAACTGGAATGTTTATTTTGTATATATAAATATACCATGAAAAAACAGTAAAGCATAGAAAACCTAGAAAGACTTCTCTGTGAGAAAGACGACCCCTGTTTCTATCTGTGCCTTTGGAAGGATCCAGAGAGAGAAGGAAGACCTGACTGGCAGTGAGGGCAGGTGACAGATCCTGCTTGGTAACAGGATCTACTGCTGGGTCACTGAGGTTTCTGTAAGTGTGTGTGTGTGTATCTATTGGGCCTGGAATTCCAGCCTCACATAAAAAGAAATGATTCATTATGGTCGCTAATGTCTGTGACTTCAGAGCTGTTAATGGGTGTCTTTTCTGTTTGCAGTGTGCATGTACAGAGAGCCATCGCTGCATGAAATTGGAGAAAAACAAGGACGCTCAAGAAAAAGTTCAGGGACACCAACCATGAATGGAGGCAAAGTTGTTAACCAAGACTCGACATAGCTGACAAATACCCTCCCTTCTTCCAACTCCTCCCCTCCCACCCACCTACCCACCCCACCTGGCGAAACCACACTGAGACGACGACAACTGAGCAAGGCAGGACCTACCGGTAGTGGCTAGGAGTCCGAACTCCAGAATCTTTCTTTGTGTAGGACAAGGAAATCGAACCCCAGATCCTGCCTGTTGCAACGTTTTAAAAAACAAAAACAACAAAAAAGAGTGAAGAAAAAATGTTTTAAATCAGGACTCCATTAACATTTTCAAAAGCAAACTGTTTGCTCTGTGATCAAAGGGGGAAAAAAAATCTCATCTCTGCATAATAATAATGATAACAACTAATAAATATAATAATAATAATAAAGATGTTACTTTAAAAATAAAACAAAGCTTTTGGAAAATTGAACTTAGCATATGATGTGCGAGAAACACATGGGAAACACAGCCTGGGACTGTGCTTTCTGTCTTATACTTTCACCTCACGTTCACACCACTGTTTTTTCCATCCCTGCTTCCCTGGGGATGGATGGGATATTTCATAAAGCAGGAAAGGTAGGGATGGATTATGACTGTGTTTGCTCTGCTATCAATAAAATATGCCCTGTCCAAATTAGGAGTCTGACAGTTATGGGCAACAAACTAGCTACTCTGTATTCAGGTTTTTCCATCTACATTCAAACACTGTGTAGTTATTTGTTGCTAGTGTCACTGTGTGAGTATGTTTGACCCAAGTCTGGCATTTTATGCCTTTTTATCATAACTATTTATATTTATAGGCTTGTTTTACTGTATTAGTTACCAGGGGAATTTCAGAAATGGGTTTTCAGTTCCCACAGGATGAAGTGATCATATTTATTAGGGAAGAGTTAGAAGATAGAGGGAAGGAGGGATGGCTGCTTGCTTTAAAATATGAAACGGAGCAAGAAACGCTACTGAAATCCTTGCTGTCAGATGGAAACGATGAGGCATGTGCTATGTGAGGGGGTGGTAAGGATTTCAGCAACGGGAAGAGGGGTGCGGGGAGGGAGTAGGTGGGGTGTGCAGAGGAGGGGGCAGCTGCGGGGGAACGTGGGTGGTTGTGCATGTCCAGCTGTGCCAGGGCAAGGAGATGCAGCCGTTTCCTTCCAGCAGCCGGGCTCCCCCTATGTGTTAAGGCTCCCCACATGTCTCGTTTTTCACGTGTTCAAAGCGAAGACTACAAACCCCTCTTATCCAAAGCCTTACTGCTGCCAAGCCCACTATGGGATGAGAACCTCTGAGATGTTCCAGCAACCTGGGTATGTGTGGGGGTACGTGTCTCGTGAGCACCGGGGCTGTAAATGCTGGAGAAGCACTTCAGCGGTAACGAATTCAGATAGGGAATGGCAATGAAGAGGGCGATGGGGTGAGGGATGCTCAGCTCTGAGCTCACCCACAGCAACTAGTGGGGCTTTGCAAGTCTCTCCCTGTCTAGTGCTTTCCCTCTTTGTGGTTTGGGGGTCAGTGGTGAACCACACACTCTCGCTCCTATGGGTGGTACGGAAACAGGGCAATAGGGGCAGATGCACTTTCTCTGCCCACACACATTAACCTCAGTCTGTAAGCACTTTCAGCACCCGGGGCCTGAAGGCAGGAGCAGCAAATCGTAGAGGGAATACAGTTGCTGTTACAAAAACAGGCACTGCCCTGGCTGTGGGAGGCCTGCTCTGGCACCTGGGAAGTTCTTGCTGCTCAGGTTGTGGTGCCATCTCCTGTGAGAGGTGAAAAGCAAAATGAATAAGCAAATTTCCAAGCACCTGGAGGAGGATAACGGGTCAGAACAGTTCATTATATGAGGAGAAACAGCCTAAAGCCTTGCTGTTACAAGCTGGGTGGGAGTATTTGTGTCATTCATAAATTATGGGCAGACATGAAATACCAAATACCAGCTTAATTCTTGAGGGTTCTTTGCTATCATGGCCAATGCCTCAGCTGCCCAGCAGCTGCACACTGCGAAGCTGCTGTGGCTGCGGGAGACGGGAGTGCCTGGGCTGGCCGGGATGCTCCCTGTAAAGCGACTGCTGAGCCTGCGGGAGCCTCCCTGTAAAGCGACTGCTCACCCTGGGGCCTCCAGCCCCACGGCATGTGCCAGTGCCAGCGTGCGGCAGGGCTCAGTGAGCAGCTCCATACAAACACAGAGCAAGCGGGGAAAAACTAAGGAGAGAGCCAAATTTCAAGGTTATGGAAGACTCCCAGGATCAGCATGAAGGAATGAATCTCAAGCATGTTCTTTTGTGTTTTGAAAAGCTGAAACCTTGAAATAAAGAGCCTCTTATCATGGCTCTGTTGCCTAATGCTGCGCTTGCAGGCAGCCCCTCCGTGCTATAAGGACACAGAAGACACCAGTGCCTGCGTGCCAACAGCAAGCACCAGCAAGGTTTATCTGGGGCTCCCAGTCATGTTGGGGTGACTCCTGCCCTCCTCACAGGCCCCAGTCCCACAACACTGGGGCAAGGTCACTGATACATGTTCAGATTGGGAACATAGTCCACACCCCATCTGATACAATCTATTGACTACATTTCAGCTCCCTCACAAACTAGAGAGCACCCCAAATTACGGGGTGCAGGGGAGGCTGCTTGCTCACTGCAGAGATGTACATTCAAAGAAGTAGAGCCTCAAGAGCAAGCAGGTCTCTGAACTAACCAAGCCTCCAAACACCCAGGCTGTAGTTTAGGCACTGAGCCACGGCCTTTCTCAGCTGCCCTCCTGGAGGGCAAGCCCAGCACCTATTGCAGATGAGAGCATCCATGGCACACCTTGGTACCACAAGCCTCTTCTGGCTCCAGCCATGGGCAACTTGCCAAGGTCACTGATGTCATCTAAAGCAGATACAGCATAAGAGACCAAAAAATTGCTGCGACCTTGTGTGCAGGACACCCTTTACCTAAGGCCCCAGAAAGCCAGGGGCAATAGCAGATCCAGTTCTGCCATGTGCTTATTTTTCTGTTGTGTCTCTCACTTATTTATCGCTGCCCACACTGGGTTTTTGCCTTGATAATTTCCTTTTGCCAAATGACTGCAAGAGTCCCTGCAAATGCCACATTCAGGCCTAAATGTCAAAATAATCTCCTCCTTTGGTCCATTGTGTTTGAGCCAATCAATCACCTTCATGCTAACACTCACTGAGCTGGCTGGTAATGAGAGCTAATCAATTCTGCTCACACCCAGGCTCTGCACTACCTCGGAGCAGGTCTTCTGCCATATGTTGGAAGTAGGTGCTGGCTTTCCTTGCTGCCTGCTGAGCCCTGGCAAACTGTGAGCCACATACAGTAGCATAAACCATGATAAAAGCCTCCCACACACCTTAGGAAATACTGTGCGCTGCCTGACCTCTAAGGAAGCTGCAAAAATCAGCTCGTGGTGTAATGCAGGGACTCCTGACATCAGGATAGCCCAAAAAACAGTGAGGCTGCACAGTGTCCACCTGCACCACTCCTGACTGGGAGCTACTTGGCTCCAGGTGCCCCAATGCCCTCCAGATGCCTGTGATAATGGCCAAGAAACATAAACGATGAAAAAGGATGTTTTCATCTCACCTAGCCCATGGTAGCTGTTAACTCTGCTAAGCCTGCAGCAGACCTTTGCCCTCTGAATAACAACAGATGCTGCTATGGAAGAACTTGCACATTTGAAGTCCAGCAGCAGAAAACACTTTACAGCACAGAAATATGGGTACATGTAAAACATTCACTTTGTTTCACCTTAGTTTGGTTTGTGATGTCCACACTGTTCTGGCAGTACATGCTATGCCACACAGCTCCTCTCACCTATGCATCAAGGGCAAAACCTGATAACATGGCTCCAGTTTGGACCATGAGGAATTTACTAGGAAAAAAACCACAGAAAAAGATACCAGCACGACAAGCATGCCATACTGCACCAGCAAGTTATGCCACAAGTGTCAGCATTGGCATGTGACAATGTGCTGTAAAGCAAAACTGACACTCAGCAAAGAAATTTATGAAAGTCGTCTGTCAACATTTTTTATTTGCAATTCTTCAAGCTGTCACAAGCCTCACTTTGCATCTTTACATCTTAAACTGCACTGATTGTGCACCATGAGTGTTACTGCCCCAGAAAGACATCGTTGCCACACTCTCTGAGCAAAGCTGAAGCAAGTGGTGTTGTAAGCTCTCCAGGCTGATTAGAGCTAGCAGGAAACAGTGTGTGCCATCCTTCCTGGCTTCATGCCAGCAAAGCTGCAGTATGTATGTATGGTGTAGACATGAAAAAACCCCTGACTTTTTGAGGCCTACAATTCCTAAAAAAAAGAAGATTCAGAATTATCATTAGTTACAGCAAACAAAACCAACCTTTGCTAATGGGCATACACTAAAATACACTACTTTTAACATGGGGGGGCATTGGCCCTAAAACATGCCCAACACTAGACCTCCATTAATTGTGGCATAGCTTAGCCCTGGTCCTAGATGGCAGGGCTCAGCTTGTATGTCACTTTCCATCAAGGGAAAAAAAAAAAAAAAAACACCAAGAAAAGACAAAAGTGAGTGTCTTCAGGGCCCAGTTCCTCTCCCAAAACTGGAACAAAATTTTTAGTTGCTGCTATGGGATGACCCACTGCAAGCACCTATGAGTAAAATCAAAAGAAACACCACTGCACTTCCTCAGTGAAGCAAAGCATTCACATCTTTCCTCTCCCACCGCAAACGCTTCAGCCTTCAGGGTGATTGATTGAAAGCTGTTTCCGTGGAATAAAAGGCAACAAGGCTTACCTCCTCCTCACCAGCATAGAGTAAAACTTGACTGCTTTTCTTCGACTGCTGAGCAACAATCATGACATCAACCAATTCCCCATGTTCTTCTTTTTTCTTAAAAAAAAAAAAAAAAAAAATCCCATAGCCAGGCCGATACATTTTTAGCATCACGTTTAAGCATACCAATGTCTCAAACCTTTGTGGCCACAAAGTTAAAGCTAAGTAACTACTATTTCAGGATAGAGCATTTCTTTTCATGATACATTTATAACTAACTGCTGCATGCACAGAAAGTTGGGTATCTTCCCAGCCTGCCTCCCTCTTGGACTTCAGGCACCTTCTCTTTGGCAAAGGTCTAGGTCAGCATGGCTCCAGGGCTCATTTCACCAGTGCAAACACTATGGATCATTGTTATGGCGCAAGGAGCTCGCACAGGCTCCAAAGCATTCCCACCTGAGGCAACTGGAGGATCAATGCAGAAAGATTTGACCTTTTATGGA